TCTGATGTCACTTCCGATTGGCCCTCACAAGACTTCCTGCTTCTCTGACATCACTTCCCATTCCGTTATTCTGACATCACTCCCTGCTGGAGCCTGCATCACTTCCTGCCTTCTGGCTTCTCTTCCTGTCTCTGCAAGCATCCCCTCTCCACAGTCTAGTCTCCCTACCTGGTTATATCACTTTCTCAAGCTCCCTCCCTTTTCCTGAGTCAATTCGTCAGCCACTGATAAGTCGGTAGATGGATATATAGGTATCTAGATACGGATAGATTATATAGTGTTAGCTACTGTCATTTAAACTAAAGGTCCTCTTTAACCAGCCCTCACTTCCTGTGTTTGCTGAACTCACTTTCTGTAACTGAATTCACTTCCTTTTCTGAGTCACAGACCTTCTTCTCCCTGGAGTGCCCATCCTACAGGACCTGTTTGCTGCCCAGTTCCTCACCGCCACCCGTGACCATCCTATTGCTTCCTGGAATTCTCAGGGTTTCTGGGTGTAGGGCGGGCTTGACTTCCCATCTATGAAATGAAAGGGGATCTTTGGGGGCAGATAGTCCATGTTCCTTGAGGAGCCTTGATTGGTGGACCCCTCTCCTTCCGAAGGCTTCGCTTCCTGTACATCCCTGCCCAGTGTGGTTTGACTTTTTTTTCTGGCTCTGACTTTATTTCCTGTCCTTGGCCTGATATCACTTTTCACTGGCTGACTGCCACCCCACTCCCACTTCCTGACTCTCCATTCTTTTTCTTTCCTTCAGGAATTCTGGATAAATACTTCTTTGACTAAAGGGGGCCTCTTTGCTCAGTATCCTTTGTCCTCCTTGAGTTGTCTCTGTTGAGGAACTGTAAGTCCCGTAAGGCACCAGGCGTGGTCTTAAAATGCCCAAGAAACTTCTGCAAAGCCTTTCTTTTTTTAAATATATTTTTATTGATGTCAGAGAGGAAGGGAGAGGGAAAGAGAGATAGAAACATCAATGATGAGAGAGAATCATTGATCGGCTGCCTCCTGCATGCCCCCCACTGGGGATCAAGCCCACAACCTGGGCATATGCCCTGACCAGGAATCGAACCGGCGACCTCTTGGTTCCTGGGTCGACGCTCAACCGCTGAGCTACACCCGGCTGGGCATCAAAGCCTTTCTTAAGACCTGAGGTTCCCCCAGGCCTGATGCCTGCTAGAAACCCAACTGGAAAGTAGGACTTTACTCATGGAGATCTTTAGGGTGTTGAAGGCAAAGTGGACTACAATTCCCAGAAACCTTTGGCGGAGCTCCCCAGTATCTTCCTATGTGGCTCCCCTGACACTTCTAGGGAGTTGTAGTCTGATCTTGTTGGCATCTCTCTGTCTCCTCAGACTCTGTATTCAACGCTGCCAGCTCTCCTGGATAGTAACCCCTTCACAGGTGGGGCAGAGCTTCCCGGACCTGGCGCAGAGCTGGAGGCCATGCCTCCGGGTTTGAGACCGACCCTGGGCGTGTTCCAGGCAGCTCTGGAACTGACCAGCCAGTGCGAGCTGCACCCGGACCTTGTGTCTCAGACTTTCGGCTACTTGTTCTTCTTCTCCAATGCATCCCTTCTCAACTCACTGATGAACGAGTGAGCGCAGACTGGACGGCAAGGAGGCAGACAGGGGGCCTGAGACCAGGTCAAGTAGACTGATCACGGCTGAGCCTACTCTAGGCACTCTGGAAAGCAGCTCCAGTCCCAGCTGAGGCCAGAGGCCTGAGCAGAGCAGGTCATGTACCCATGCTG